TCGGAGAAGAGTTTCATAACCGAGACCTCTTCGACGCCACTTTCACATCACCTTAAGCCTGGTTTATGCTCCAGGTGTAATTCCTACTCGTGGAATAATCTTCGGGCGCTTTTCCTTAAAATCTCGGGATAAGTTAAGTTCAAAGTCGGAAACTTTGTAGGATTACGACTAAGGTTGGAGTTAGGATAAGGAAAGCTGAAAGGACCAGGAATTCTTCACTGCGAGCGATCGAGTTAGGGTTATGTTGGGGTTAGGACGGAGGTATAAAACGGTTTTATGAACTAAAGTCCTACTTGGCGAGGAGCTAAAGCTTTCCCCATGAATCCGGCTGCCTCGGCACCGAGGCTGAAGCCAATCACGTGAAGTCTTGCCATAGTGACGGCGCCTTGGGCTTCCAGCCACCTGACCATACGAGCCACGTGGGGGCCCACGACTCGGGTATTGCCAACCGCGGTGATGTACCACGGTAGGGTTGCCAACTTCCCCCAGTCGACCAGGATAACGTTATAGTCCCCACGGGCAAGATAAGCTGAAACGAGAAGAAATTCCGGATACTTCACCGTCTCGAGGGCTCCCTTCAGTGGGGCAATTTCAGGAAGAGGACCCAATGGAAGGTGCATCGCAGGATCTAGGGGAATTTAACCCGATCAAATGCAAGACCAAGATCGATTTTGCTACTTAATGTGTAAACGTAATACCAAGACTAGGATAGTCTTGCTCTTATAGTTCTTGATCTCGTTCTCGGTCTTGTATTTTTATCTTTTTTCCGGTTGGTACTCATCATCTTGGGAACATTTTCTAGGGACCCGTACCGTCTCTGACGGTGCCAGCACTGCGACCTGGAGCACTTTCACTGTACCCGTGTATGTAGAGGACGGTGGGGCTCCTGTTGTCGAAGTTGCCACCCTGAAGACTCGCGGTGTCGTTGATTCGCAGCATGGTTGGCACCACTGGATTCCGTCTTAATTTCCGAGAGTGACCGGAAGTGCAACACAACAATCGAATTACCACGCATGCTTAAGGCTCGACTTATCTTTCGAGGCGACCATTTGTTGTCTCAGAATGAAAACACCCCCTTAACCCCTAGTTAATTAATCATACCGAGTGTAGGGATTTCGCATTTAGAGGTTGGTACCTGGTGTACAGTTGGTACTCGATGTCACGGTCCAGGTCGATGGGGCAACAAAGAGCGCAAGTCCCGGCGGGGAAGGCCGATATGTGCACCGGGCTTTCACCTTTCGACAGAGAGTTAATCAATTATTAGCTTAACAATACCACGTAGAACTTTTCGCCATTCCACCCGTCGCCGAACGCAGTTCCATTCATGCTCATTGTTTATGTCAGTATTTGTTAGAATCTTCTGCATTAACAAGCCTCCCCTATTGCCGAACAAACTCTGTATATTGGCAAACTATTTAGCTAAAAAATTAGTTCTTTAACATATTCAAGGAAGCTGTCATTCGTTGGAACGTGACCTTGATGAAACATGCTACTGCAAGCTCAACAATGGCGGCCAAGGCGATCATATCGGTCGTTTCTTTCTTTTTTTTTTCCTTTCTGGGCTAAGGGTTCGGACTTAACCGTGTAAAAAGGCGGAATTGTTTAGCAAGTAGCTAATTGGAGTAAAGGTGCTCCTTGCGTCACGTCATTCACACTTGGCGCGACGCGCTACTCGAACAGCTGATTGCGCAAACGGTTTACTGCCGATCCTAGGATAGAAATTCCATAGACCGTTTGTTGTACTCCCTCTATCTAGCTTCGCCGCTTTCCACCTTCTGGGCCTTCCTCGATATTAACGGTAAAACATTTTATCGGAGGAAAGCGAGAGGGATAATTTCTCCGGAAGCTTGGGCCCACTTTCATTTATATGAACGTACTGGCCGTGCATCGTGGGGATAACTTTTACTCACTCGAGTCTCCGATCCCACGCTTATTCAGTATAATTATATGTATCACTCTAATCACAGATGTTTGTGTCTCGATTAAACTCATTATTTGCTTATATCACGTGTAGACATAACCTAGGCTATTTTTGGAAACTTCAAACCGGTTGCCTTTATAATTAGAAATAATTAGACGGCGTCTCTAATGACCATGCTTAATATCCATGTGTAGACGATTGCCGAAAGACATTGTTGCTCACTTCCCTCTCATGTTTTTTCTTCTCTTGTGGGGACTTATCTCGCCACACTTTCGCGCCAACTTTCCTCCAGGTGGAAAGGAATACATCCCGGGCATTGCACTGTCTTCACGCTCGAAGGATACAATTATTAATCCACGAACAACATTTTATTTAAAATTCCTCGTGGCTTTCTGAACTTTCATTCTAGATACACGCGGACGATCTCACTTATCCGCGATCCCTTGAATTTTCACAACAGCTGATCGTTGACGTTTGACGAGCCCCGATTTATTTTCGTAAATATTAGAAACTGCACTCAGGTCGGAAGTTATTTAGTTCCTATTTATTTATTTATTATTTTAGTCGCTTATTTTCTTTCATTTTTCCCTTTTTTTGTCATTTTCCCCAAAGCTGGTTAGACGTCACTCCACTTTTCCTGTCACCGGAAGTGTCTCACCTCTGTCGATGACGAAGAGGCGGCAGAGATAAGAGGCCAGAAGAGCTGGTATCATTTTCGCGCTCGCCTTTCACCGACTGGCCGAGACCCAGAGGCTCTTTCTAAGTCCGATCGAAGATCCGAACTAAACTGAGAAGAACAGATCCTTGCGGAACACTTTGTACCTATGGAATGTCTGAAGCATGACGTTTCTACGTAACGACTGGTCTTTTTACTTCCACTCGGATTTCGCTTGTTCAAGCGAGCTCGTTTTCGCGCAGACCGCCCCCACTGTGAAGTTAGTCGCTGGGAAATTCGGCCTTGGCTCCAGCCTTTACGAAATGCTTTAGAAGGTGGGGAGAAAGTGGGAAAAACGCGACTTAACGACCCTTCGAAATCCCCATTTCAAGATTTTCATCCTACCTAGGAGCTGTGGCCTCAAATCAATTTTGAGATATTTTAAGGCGAGGTAACTTATATACTAAGGCCTTAAAGGTATCTAAAGAGTCACTCATTTATGAAATTTCATTTTTTTATAACAAATTTAAAAAATATCTGTCAACAGATTTTTAAAAAATTGACATATGAAATTTCATGAGTTTCAGGACCTTCCTTATACCCTCCATGTTTGTATTGTAAATTTGAAACCGATTTGGTACACCCAGTTTGGAGAAAAGTTTCATTAACGAGAACTCTGCCGTCACTTTTACATCACCTTAAAAATGACAGATATTTTCATTTCCTTTGCTTGTAAGCCTAAAGGAGGATTTAATTCATATTAAGTAGGGGATAAAAAATCGAAAGTAAGACATGAAGACTGAAATATGCTCAAGAGGTCTAGATTAAGCAGGTTCAGAGTTAAATTTTTTATTTGGGCTTCTTCTCAGATGATACCGATTATCGGGAATACCCTTAAAGTCCCTAATAGAAAGAGATGAAAAATGGAATAAATGCGGAAGTACTCGGTTAATTAAGCTCGAATCTCCATCGCTTTCGCCTCGATGCAGAAGAGCCTCTGTTAACTATTTCGATCGAGACGAGCTTAATTCGAGAGAGCCGGCTTCCTTTCTTCCTTCATTCCTCGCGCTTTCTTTTTTCTCGCATTTCTGCATTTTTTTTTGTCCCGAGCTCTGGAAACGCCACTGTTTCTCGATCGAGCCTCCCCAATTAATTTTCCCGGCTCGCGTTCTGCTCGAAGCCGCACGATTGCTACATAAAAGGACTTGTTGCGAGAACAAACGAAAAAAGCGGAAGGAAAGGTGCAATAAGCCGAAACAACGCCACGCTCGCGCCATTACCGCTTTCATGACCCTCGAGAACGATTATTTGCCTAATGGCGGATCGAAAGTCGTCGAACGCGCTTATTTTTTTTATTTTTTAATAATCAAGCTCCCGGAAAGGTCTCTCAGTCGTGAATATCTGGAATTTTGCGACAGTTTTCCGGAAGCTCGAGTTTATACGTTCTGTCGTATTCAATTAGTGCCGACTGTTAAATAGCCGAATTTGATAAGAAGGTTGTATTCCGTGATAAGGATGTAGGCTTTTACTGGCGCGGAGGTACTCAAAATCGTGGAATGATGAAAATCCAGAAGGTTTAGTCGGGAAGTGCGGGAGACTTTCTTTTTTTGTTCAATTAGTTTCGACCTTTAAGTAGCCGAACTTGGTAAAGAAGGAAGAATAATTAGGAAGGAGAGGAAGTGAGCTTTATTCGGGATTATTTAGTGCACTCTGTGATAAGAATGTAGGCTTTTACTGGCGCTGAGGTACTCAAAATTGTGGAATAATGAAAAGCGAGAAGGTTTTGTCGGGAAGTCCGGAAGAAGGGGGGAACAGGATGCACCAGTGGCGATGCTAAAATGGCGCAGCTTCATTGTCGGCGATCCCGCGGTGGGGATATTTTGCGCATCATCTCTCTAATATCTGGAAACCACCGTGACCCAGATACCGGCGCACAATTTGGCAGGGCATGCCAAGAGAAAGGGTCTAAATAAATACAAAGAAATCGGCTCAGTTTCGGACGAAACTGTGCTGACCAACTTCCGCCCTCCTCGAGTCCTCGGGACGAAGAACTTCCTTCGAATCACATTTTTCCTTCATTTAGCAGTCTCTCTTTTGATAAGCGACTGTATTGAAATTTTCCAAGCACAAAGAGAGAAATTCTGTTTGAGGGAAAATCGATTCGTTTGTTTTGCGACGCGCGAGCCAAGTGGAATTTTGATTTTCAACGAGAATTGAAATAGCGGAGTTCGGAGGAGTTCAAGATGGCGGCCGGCGACGAAGAAGTATTCGCGGGGGTGTTGAAACCCGGATACAATGCCATGAATGTTTCATTTATGAGAACTGGGGATTACGTAACTTTGGGGATTTGAATACTTCGTTACAAGATCTAGGGATCTGGGGACAAGATGGATGCTAACGACGCCTTTTCTTTCATCTTTTCAGGACAAGCTGCTGACGAAACTGGAGGAGAACGAACCGGAAATGGCCTCCTCCCAAGAGGACGAGGTGAGTACCGCAGAAAAGTGCCGCTAACAAAATTAAATCCAACGATTTCAGATTACAACCCCGGACTCGAGTATTACAGGAACTTCTAAAATTAGTTTCTTTGACAATTTTCTGCTTCTTCTCCGCCTCTTGCGCGCCAGAAAAGTCGGCTTTCTCGACGTTTCCCTGGAAAACCTGATAAATGAAAATAATCCCGTACATTTTGGAATATTTACTCTAATCCTTCCAGCACGATCGAGCCGAAATGTTGTTGCGGGTATACAATAACATATCTCTTGCGCACTTAAGAAGCAGTTGAGTCTCTGCCAGCTGGCACTCTGTCAACAATGAAGAGTGTCATCGGAACAATTGCAGCACTGGAATTAGCGCGTTATCTGCGCGAGGTACTAATCGCAACTACGGATTGCAGGAAACGTTTATTTTTTTTTCTTCCATTCAACTCTTCAGTTATTACGGTGCAAAGGCGGAATAGACAATTTTCCGGCGCAATTGCGCCGATTTTTGTGTATCTTTTGTTTACGAGGAGCATATGAAATTACCCAAAAATTCCCAAGAGCACTCTTACGCGTCCTAACCTAGGGTGACATTTTCCGGCAAGTTCTGGATTATTTTGCCGGATATAAAAAAGAAAAAAAATAGTCTGGGTCAATAGCAGAGATTTCGCGGAATATCCTATAATCGAGCCCGCCTGACCTTTCCGGACAAGAGGAAATCGTCCTAGGGAAATTACGCCTCCACTCGAGTCGCAGGAATAAGGACGTAATTTAGTCATGGCAGAGGACCTCCTACGGCAGAAAAATATTTTTCTCTACCAGAGAGGAGGTAGTGAAACCTTCCGAGTCTAATTCCGAACGAATGAGTGATTCCTAGGGATCGCGATTTATCGATTTTCGCGATGTTCCGAAATTTTCGTGATTTTCCCTGTTTTTTCAAGTAATTTTTGCGATCCGCAGGAACTCCAACGTCGGCCGCGTTACAATATGGCGCTGATTCGCGTCCGTTTCGAAAATCGCCTCTCGGCTGGAAATGTCGTAATTTCCGGCTGGCTTGTCTGTCCAATGGGCTGCTAAAACGGATTACGCGAGTCCGAAGCTCGCCGCCGCGACGCCGGTGTCGATTCTTGACGTCGGCTGATCCCGGGCGCCATTATTACCTCGTCGATATCCCATTAATATTCTAATTTGCACTCGGCGCTCGGAACTTCCATAATGGCCGCTTTCCTGTAAGAGACACAGTCGGCACTGCGGGTGACACGCCGCGTCCCTCGGAGGGCTGATTAATCGAGTTTCGAGAATTCCAGAATTCGAGAATTTCCTATAATTGCCAAGTTCAACTTCGAATTACCGCCCCGCGATATTTCCCAATTTTCTCAGATCTCGAAACGAAAAATTGGTCAACTTGTCCAGTCCGTGGGGGAAATTAAACGTGTGATAAAAGTTCACGACTCTGATAGTCGATAATTAATTATTAAATTATCGTCAAAGGACATCGGAAGTGCGCGGGACCCCCGTAATTGCCGGTGTCATGTATCGATTAAATGTATCGATCTGCATTGGACAATAATACTTAGGGGAAAAAAAAAAAAGAACTCGAGGGGGAGCCACACTGATAACTTTGTTCTTGCAAGCGAGATTACCGATGCGATAACGAAATGCGTCACCGGGTCTTGCGAACATCCTGTCACGTTGGTCAATCAAATAACATTTAAATCTATTTTTCTTGATTATTATCACCGCATGGAGTATCCGTAATTGCAGGTGCATTATATTCCGCGATTTTTTCAAACCGTGGCTCAGTTTTTGTGCGCCTCTCGAGAGAGAATGAAGCGTCGCTCGATATGTCTCATCCTCGTCTTGGTTGTTACTTGTGCAGTGGTAAGTGTTGATAAATGCCTGATAAGGAAATAAATCTATCATTAAGGGGGAAATGAAGTATAATCGTCTTTGCAGTTTGGCAATGATTTGGTGAGTGAAAACGAAGAGATACCCGAAGGAGGACGTGGTCGTTCTGGAGGTTCAGGAGGTCCTAGAGGTCCTGGGGGTCCTGGGGGTCCTAAAGGATTCGAAGGTCCTCCAAGCCCTAAAGGTCCTCCAGGTCCTGGAGGACCTGGAAGTCCTAGGAATCCTAGAAGTCCTCAAGACCCTGGACGTCCTGGGATGTTTGGACACCCTTCTGGTTCCGAGGGATTTCAAGTTCCTGGAAACGTCGAAGGGTCGGAGTCATTTGAAGGATTAAAAGGTCCTGGGGGACTTCAACGCGGAGGTCGAAGGCGATTTAGATGTCCTGAGGACTCGATTGGCCCGGAAGCTCCGGAATACCCTGAAGAGTCCATTAACTCCGGAGGAACTGGTGGAGTCGCAAAGTTTAGTCAGTCTGCACGTCGAATGCAAAATGTCGGCTGGCGACGTCATCGAGGAAACTGGCGTGGGAGATGCAGAAATGATACTTCAACTACTCCTCCAAGTGGTACGACTGTCAATCATTTTTCTTCGTAAAGCCCCAACCCCTAATTAAAATGATTACCCAGAAGTCACTGGTAGACTCTAATATCGTTTCATCCATTAAATATTTCCTTTCCAGGGGGAGAAGAGCCAGCCGAGGAACTCCCAGAAGAGGCCGTAGACGAACAGCAATAAATATATTATTACATGTCTCTGTAGGGTTCCTCACCTTGAAGAGCCAAATAAATAGATTCAGCATGGCAATGTTTGTTGTACTATACCTGGGAAACACTTTTCAAACGGCTAAAAGCATTTATTTAACCCTTTCCTTCATTTTATTCCTCCCTCTTTGAAAGGCTCAGTAGGTCCTCTCCGTAAAGAAACTTAATGGTTAATTTTTTTCTTGTTCCAGTGCGTCATCTGCGTAAATGCCAGAGCCACGATGCAGACGGCGCCCTGTGGGCACCGCGTCGTTTGCAGGTGAGTTTCCGCCCTGGTGGATTCTCCTTTCTCGCCCGAAACCGTTTTTGGAGCCGATCAATCATCGTGGTTGTTATTTCCAGACGATGTTTTGTCAAGACTATACAAATGGCGGTGTCGCAGCGGCTCCTCCCGCTACGCTGCGTAATCTGCAGAGCGAAGATCCTACGGCTGAAACAGACCCTGATCCCCAGAGACGTAAGAGACCTCGAGGAAACTTTTCCAACAATCTACCCTACTTGGAATAAAATTAGCGAGATGAATTTTTGACAAAACATCCCTCGAAAGAATTGCTATGAAAATAATATACGACCGGACTTTCGCGAAACCCCTAATAAATCAATGGTTCATTAATGACCTTCCGCATGTTCAGTATTTCATGTCTGGGAAGTCCTGGGTGGTAGCAATAAAGTTACCAACATGAATTCTCGACAAAACGTCCCTAGAAGAAATTGATATAACAATTTTTTACTATACGACTTTCGCCATAATACCTAATAATTAATTATTTACTAATTGCCTTTTGGGGGCATGGATTCAGTATTCCATGTCTGGGAAGTCCTGGGTGCTGCCTCAGAGTGCATCGGCATACAGCATGGGAACTGGGGTCTCTGTGGGCGTTTCCGGTCCAGGGGGAAGATGGAGCACCGGAAGTGTTCCGGCCTCGGCTTCGCTCTACTCCATGGCCAGCGGTTCTTCCTCCATATCCGGTTGGTGGGGCGCATAAAAACTAAATGAATGAACGAGATCCTGAAATCTGAATGTCTAAGCCATATCATTTTCATTTTGTTCCAGGCGTGTCTTCCGTGTCCTCGGCGACGTCCTCGTCCACTGCGAGTTCCGGTAGTTCCACCCTTGGGAAACCTCCAAGGGTTCGGCAACCTACCGGCGCGAATTTAAGGCGGTCGCAGACCCAGTCCATGAAGATGAGGATTCAGGTGAGATAAATCTGCCTCTTAGGAGAAAAGAAACGCAGTAATTAAAATAAAAGTACGGTAATAAGCGTCGTTCTGTCCCACGAGGTGGAGGATGTTAAAAAAAGAGGGATCCTCGGCGAAGGTCATTGGGACGTTTAATTTAAGATCTTGGAAAATTAGGACGTTACGCTGTTAAAAAAAACTCATAAAGTTCATACACTTTTAGTACATATGGTTGCAGTGAAATTATAAATTTGATGTCTTAATGGCGAATTAGTATACGTATATTATGAAATTCTAAGTAAATTTGCAATTTTATAACACCGTGTTGTAATTTTGCGAAATTGCGGAGAAAAATTATAAACTCGATATTCGAAAGTCATTTGGTACGCATTGTTTGTACATTTCTTAGATGAGCTTTTAATCTTACGATCGTTTACATAAGTTTATTTTTAAACAAATCTAATCGAGAGATGACAAGTATCGGTGGCACTGGCGGAGAAGCATTGTTGCGACATTCTTGAGTCCGAGGAATTAATTTAAATAATATTTAAAAAAATTCTTACAATCAATAGAAAACTCGTGCTACGAGTTTCTTTATTTATTACACATATATACTAAACTTATAATATATGTTATACATTTTATTGGAAAATATTTTATGAAATTAGTATACCATCTATGAATAAAACTTCCAACAAACATGTTTTAAAATTATAATATTTTTGTTATCAGTGTAACATTTCTTATCGGGTTGCAGGAGTATCAGGATCCGATACAGCATGTCTCGGAAGAGGATGATATCCTGAGGGAGAACCGGGAGCGGAGGTTGCCGCCGATTAAGGAGTTCCAGCGGGACTACCGAGCCGGAAAAGCGTCCACCAGGATACGGTAAGGACAGCTGAGGGTGATAGGGATAATCAATCCGAGGAAATCGCTTAAAATAAGCTCAAGATGGAGGAACATCCGCTGGCCCTGCACGGGGAGTTCAGCTGATCTTCACCTTGCAGATGCGCGCAGAAGATCGTGACGCAGCTGGAGACATCCCCAGGTCCCAGGGGACCATCAAACGGGACCAAAGAGTGTCTCTCGAGCTCCTCGTCTTCGAAGTCTACCACCGCGAAGAAGGCGGTACCAGCCTTGAAGACGACCCTGACGGTCGCCCAGGAGGTGCAGAAGACGAAGAAGGAGAAGGAGAAGGAAAAGGAGAGGGAGAAGGCGGAGAAGGCGAGGCAGAAGGAGGAGGAGAAAGCCGAGAAGGCCAGGCAAAAGGAGGCCAAAAAACTCGCCAAGGAGGAGAAGAAGCGAGCCAAGAAGGAGGCTAAGGCGAGAAGAAAGGAAGCCGAGGAAGTCCTCCTCAGAGACGACAAGTAGCGCCGCCTGGACGGCCAAACTCCGAAGCAGGACAGATCAGAGTTCCTGGCTAGCAGCGGAAGAGGGAGAACCGTGGTCTAAATGTAATTCAATTAATTGCGTAATCGAGCGATCCGACGCCGAGAAAAGTTTCAAGCGAGTTTGCAGTCGACCCCTGGAAGCGTGTTAATAGGGGGGTCCACTTTAAATTCGTCATATCTTTCCCTTTTAGGCAAATCTTAAAAGTTCGGGTCGAACGAACACTCGATTACGACGATTCAATATTTCGACCGGGTTTTAGGGAGAATATGATAAGAGGCCATTCGAAATTTCTTCACAGTTTGGGCGACTCGTGATACAGTCTTGGGAATGGAGATCATCTTAAACTAAATTTAGACAAAGTGATAGGAATTAAAATTAACGCTTTCGTCAGTTTTAAGCCATATCACGTGTGGTTTTATTTTTGAGATGATGGAATCGTTTTTGTTAGGACTGGTTAAGAGTTTAAGGCGATTTACTTGGAAAGGACGGTATTTTAGTAGACGAGCACTAACTGTGGGAGGAATTTCGAGTCGGTCTTCCGAGAGAGATCCTGATCTCCGAAAAGCGATCCTAGGTAGTCGATCTTTGAAACAATGACGAGCAGCTCCGTTGACGCGATCATTGCTTGTCATTTTTACGGGGATGTGCTCAAACAGGGTCGGGAAAATGCGAGGCAGATGCCGGGGAAAAGCTAAAAACCAAAAGTCTAGAAGCGGCCAAATTTAGTAAATCGAGTCATATCGACTTCTCGCGAAGTTGCTAGCGGTTAAACACGTAATATCTTAGCCAATCGGATAGACCCAGGTAGAATCGCGAGGGTGGACGTTCAAGTTTCCACTCGCGTTCACATTCATTCCTCTCATCGGACGCGAAGAAAGGATCTGAGTACATAGATCGATTCGTGCCACCTACCTACAGGTTTTCGCGAAAAAAGGAATCGAAAAAGATGCAGGAGCGATGAATTAACGGATAATTAAGTCGCGAGGTGGGTACCACGGCGGAAGCCATCTTGAAAATATGGCGGAAACACGTCGCGTCGCCCGATCGATCGTACGGGCAGCCTAAAATAGGAATCACGCGGTCCGGCCAGAAAGTAGCTTTGAATTTCCAAGTGCTGTGAATGAAAGAATATTAAAGATTCGGACTATTTATTTATATTTTTTATTAATCAACGCCGAACGACACCTCCAACTCGGAGGTGCACGGCCTGCGACATATGAAACGAACGAAGCGTCCTATCATTTCAGAGACATCGATCAGACCCCGACCTCACGCGAACATAACCTCATCGCGGGACTCTTCCGCACCCGTTGAGTTACCATCCTTTTAAGGCGCATAATCAAAACGATCGTTTTTACGCGCAACCAAGGATCATAATTCGCAATATCAAAATGTAAACAATCGAGACGTATACACTCTAGCTAGTAAGCGAGAGCTGGAAGATAAAAAAGCGCAAATCAACCCAAAAGTCATTACCCTAGTGAAAAACAGTTGTTCTAGTCTTATTTAAAGGTGCGATCAAGGGGGAGAAAGAAAGATACAAGTCCCTTTTAATTTCCCAGCATACTCGAGGGAGAAAAGTAGTCGAAGTGCACTTTGTTCCCGTTAAACGTTAGTAGTTCGTTCCGTTACCGCGAACTGGGAATAAAGATGGCGAAGATTGAGCTCAAAGAAAGGTGGGAAAAGTCGCGAAGAGACGCGCGATCGAGGCGAAACTGGAAATGAAGGGAGCCTCAATCGCACCGAGTCCGACATTCGAATATCATCCCGATAGGAGCGCTGATAAGCGCGGAAACCTAACCTAAAGTCGCGAGGCGAGGGCCGCGGATCGTTTGCGTCGCCTCGCCGAACATATCACTAATTCTTAGTACCTAACGAGTAGTCCGTCAATTACCACCCTCAAAATTATCGCCCGAATAGCGAGAAAGGCTCGTCGAAAGGTTAGCAAAGGAAAAAGCGCGGTCGATGAGGCAAAAAAAAGGCTAAACGAGGGTTAAACCAGGGTTGGACCTGGAGGTTTTCTCGCCATCATTCCCAGTAGCGTTAGTATTACGGCAACGTGGTTGTGAGGGATTCCCAGAGGCGTGGGGGAAAAGCGAATTCGTTCTCATGCGAATGGTACTTTAAGGTATACGAGGAGTACTTGTTCTGCCATCGAGATGTCAATTTTACCTGCGGCGCATTTCGCAACCGGCGCCTCTTCCGGTTGCGGCAGAGGCCTCGGTCGGGTCCCCGGGATTCCCGCGCGGGAATTTCGAATTCGGTAACCCGACCCCGATTTTTCGGGCACCCCGTGGTGGGCGTACACAAGGCGGTACACAAAATGTTGGCAATAATTTCTATTTAAACGAGGGACGCGGCGCATTAAGATTACTGTTAACTATTAGTAACGCGTAAGAGTTTGTAGAGAGTTTATATAGGTAAATTAAGCAGAGAGCTAGAGATAGGGTGCATAAAAGAAAAAGGGGTTCTATACTTTCGAGGAACTTCGATTAATTTCGAGCATTCATCGGGACGAGCGAGTCGGGGAGTTTTGGAAAATAGGCGCCAATCAGCTTTTACTGCTCGAATTTTGAATCTCTTGAACGATCGTCTCGGCGATGACTCGCGCGTCCCGGTGGACGCGCCGGAAGTGGATTAAACGGTACATAAATAATTAAAGAGAAAATAAAAGGACTACAATTTAAGACCTGCGGAGACGTTTATAATCATAGCGAGGACAGATCTAGGACTGGATTTTAGCTTTTTAATTTATACCGAGCGCGCTTTTTAGGCGGGACTTTGGGCGGGATTCCGGCGAAAGGGCTAAAGTGCCGGCAGGAAGGGAGACAAAGGCCCCGCGTTCAGGACGGCTTGTAGTTGATTCTAACGAGTCTATTTTAGTAGCTTTATTTATCGATTGCAAGTGTGCAGGATGACGGCGTATACGGGAGATGCGTTACGATCTGTATAAGCAAGAGGCTGGAAAATCAAATAAAGTGTTATGATGAATGTTAGACAAAACGGCATTCTCCTATTTTTCTCAGACCTCGCGTGCCCCATAACTCTTTGGCGAACGATAAACACGTGGGTACAGCCAGAATGATGAGCCCTTCTTCTAGAAAAATGACTTTATTAAAAGAATTCATTAGTGGGGATGTCTTTTTCAACATGTACATAAAACAGACCGGTCAGGGATGAATCCAGCGTGGTAATAGTGAGTCCCTAAGATCTACGGTAAATCGGTTTTGGCCTTCGCCAGCCGTAGGCTTATACAAAACGCGATTCAATTCCCGAATCCATGAACAATCATCCAGGGATATTCACCGTCGCGATATCCGCTCCTGGCATTTTGAACCCTGGCCCACCTTTGCGACGATCTTAAATAAATAAGCGTGTCCCTCTACCGGTTAGAACGAACACCATCGTATGTCTTAAACGTAGGTAACGATTATTATCAAAAGCGGACGCCATTGCTCGATGCCAAAGTCCGTCTCGATGACGAGGACAGGATCGCTAAGTACAAAAGTCCGTGCTTATTGCGAGATGATCCCGCAAAGAAAAAAGAATGAAAATGTCCCCCAGGACTCGCGAGAAGTTGATCTTTACGGATAATTCTGCTCGTTATTACAGGAATAGACTCCAATGAATTTTCGATAGAAAGAAAAAAAGAAAAAAAATGCAGAGTCGGTTACGTATTATCATATCTCGACAAGAACTATTTTACGTAATAATTGCGGACAAGGTCCTCGAGGATCGCTCTTTGAAAGAGCTTTTAGACAGTCGGTGTCGTAATCTTACTACAAAAGGTTGGCAGGTTAGAAGAAGATTCGAGGACAGATCGGAAGCAGGCTATCGGTTTATCCGTCAGATTAAAAGTTAAGGTCTAGAAACGCACGGAACTTCTTCGAAGACGTCATCCGGTGACGTAAGCTCTTGAGGGCAGTTCCAATTTTAAGCCGGAAGGGTTCCAAGAAGATCACTCAAAGAGACTATCTAGAGAGCCAGGCCTGTCGGGGCAGTTTCGTCTGCACAGCCATTTGCTACGTCCTGCTTCCATCTGCGCAAAGCAACTCCTTGAAGGTTCGACATGAACTTGTTCAGTGAGGCGCACTTTGACGCAAGACAAAAATTCCATGCGCGTTTCGTCCGATGCCTCAGAGGCGTCTAAGCTGGGACACCGATTTTGGACCACTGAAGGAAAATGAAATTCGAGTCCAAAACAGGCTAGAGAGACTTGGAAAGCTCGAAGCAGCCGAGAACAGGGCCTCGCCCTCCACCCTTGCTGCAGGTCGCTCCTTTTTAGACATCACTGCGATTGCTACTTCTCGACTTTGGCGCTGACCTCGGCCTAACTGTCGCGGTCCAAAGAGTCCAGGGTGTCGTTGCTGGAAGAGTGGGTCAGGTCGCTCAATTCGTCCAAATGCTTTTGCCTTTTCCGCACGTTCCAGTGAAGGCACTCTGCCAAGGAGTCAAACCAGTCGGTGATCTGGTCGGCTGCGCAGATGCTGGGGACGGGATAAATCGACGTGGTGACCCTGAGACTGGGAAAAGAAGCAGAACGTTAGACTAGATTTAACTTTATACCAGTAATACATGATCAGAAAGACAAGAAAGATAAGGTCAAAAAGCCACAACCAAGTCCCCAGCACAGTTGACGTCTCTAGGTGTTATTCAAACCCGACGTAATTGCGAAATAGAGAGAGGAGAAGAGGAAAACACGCCGAGAGGTACCGAGGGAGACCGCCAGATGTCTCGGAAGTCCAAGATACCAGTAGAAGAAAAGGTTTTTACTGAACGGGACAAACCTATCCCCGACGCGCAGCTCTTGCTGGTTGCGACCGTCGAAAGAGACATAGGCTGTGCTGCGAGCCTTGCTGTTGGCCATTATCTGAAATCATTGAAACTCTCGTTAGAAGGGTCTACCTGTCCCCATGGAAGAGCTCCTGGCGGTTTCTGCCGTCAAAGGACACCCACGCGATGTTTCTGCTGTCCGGCGAGACCGAGATCTGACATGAGAGAAATTTAAATGAACCTGGGGTACTTTTAAAGGTACCGTATCACAAGCACCCGTCTTCAATTCCATGTTGAAGGTGTTTAAAAAACTGAGTCGCAGTTTTTTATATCCTAGACCATACTCTACCGTACCTTCAGCTCCACTCCTGCAGGGACTACGATTGGCCTGAAGGACAACGAATGAGGACAGATGGGTGTGATCATGATCGCGGGCACCGAAGGATGGATCATGCTAGCTCCAGCTGCAACTGCATACGCCGTAGAGCCTGTAGGTGTGCTCACGATCAGTCCGTCGCCTTGCACGCTGGTTACGTGTTTCCCGTCGATGAAGAGGTCGATGTTCGAAAGGTACGGAGATGGGCCTCGGTCGACCACGACCTCGTTGAGCACTAGCAAATTCGTCGGCGGCTTCGTTGGCTGGCCTTCCTCCCCCTTGCGCATAATTATGCACCGAAGACGACTTCTCAGAGTTAAGGCTGCGTGACCTGTAAGAAATTACATTATGGATAAATTAAACGCATGTATAAATGTAAAGTTAAGATAAGACCGGTAAGTTGTGGACTATTTACTGTTGCAGGTAGTAGTGAGAAATTTAATCGAAAACTCAATTGTCAAGGAAAAAACGGGAGGATGATTAATTTGTGGGAGGAAAGCCGGTCGGTATGCCGCCCAAGGTAATGTACAGGTCGCCGGGAATTCTTCGGGATGTGAAAGACAGAGTTGAGGACGATCCTTAATGGCGCAACCTGGATATTGCGGCACCTGCAATCTCTGAGTAGCCATTAAGAGGTCGTACCGTATTGTGCAACGTCGTCACAGACATAATGAGACTAATCTGTCGAGGTTCCCCGCAGGCTGGCTCTACATAAGTTGTCGAAGGTGTGACAAATGTACTGAAAGAGTTCTCTAATCTAGGGACATACTAGATTTCGTGGTGGCCGCTTGAATTTTGAGAGCTTCTCTATATCCAAGCGGATCGTTAGACTCGATCGGATCCTCGGAGAGGTCTTCGGATCTAGGGAATTCCACGGCGCCAACTTGCCCATCAATGAACTTAACGTGGGTGGTGCTTTTTCCACTATCTAGGGGAATTTTAAACTGCTCGCGACACCGACTCTCGTCTTCCAAACAACAAAATTCATCCTTCGTCTCTTCCTCGCATCGACTTCTTGCGTAAACGCAGGGTGTAGTGAGATTAATCGTGTTACTAGATCCTAGGGTCTTTTCCGTCTCGATGATGTCGGGGGATGATGGGTCAAGAAGCAATGCCTTTTTCTGTAAGCTTGATAAGCTCCGGCCTGGGAATGGAATTGGAAATGTTAAGATGTTGATGACGCTCTTGTTAGATTCTTTTCTCATATCTCGGAGATATGTCATGGTGTTTTTAAGAGATTCTCCGTAGTTGCTACGGATGTTAGTGTTATTCAAAGGAGATGATCAATGACCTCTGGATGTAGATAAGAGCAGGGTGATTAAATGTCGTAAATGTTCGAGATTAATTTTAGTACCCTCCAAGACATTGGTGACTTGTTCCTGGAAATTGTCAAACTCAAAGGGCGTCAGGAATCCTAGGGACCCTAGGTGAAAAGCCATCACGGGTGGCACCGACTGCTGGAAAAGCAGGCTTGCGTAAAGGAGCGTCCCATCTCCTCCCAGACAGACGATAAAGTCGATTCGATCCTGAAAAACGGTAATTATTTTCTTCTTTACTATAACTTTTCATTTCAAGGCTCGACACATCCGCTGCGACGAAATCCAAAAAGGCTTTCGTTGGGTGCAATACCTTTTGCCATAAATTCTTTTAAATTCTGATTAATACCTGAAGATCGTCAGTGCCATCCCTGAATGTCTGAAGTCTGTCGCGAATACCTCGAAACCTGAGATCTCGTGCCAACGTAGGGTCTTCCAACACCGAGGCCTCCACGAAGACGACCATTCTTTTCTCCTAAAAATATCGAAAGACGGCAAGTAAGAGATGCAATATCTTAAATATATTTAACTTACGTAGATTTTACAGGAATAGAGTTACCTCGATCAGCCATGTAACCAATTGAACAAATGGTGGCAGCACTGACGAGTCCCGAACCTTCTTAATCACCAGAACTGTAAGTGGAGGCTTGTACCACGTCAACCTCTGTGAGGCCGGATCCTGGATGGTCCTGATAAAGCCAAGAATTCATAACGGATATAAGACTATGAGTAACTCAGACTTTCAAACTTACACCTCCACCGTAATCGTCGATAAAAATTACATCGAAAAACTCATTACCAAAATTTTGACAGAGTCCTAGTTTATGAGATATCGAGATATAGAGTGGACCAATCACGCGACGGCTCCAACGGAAAGTGATATACTTCACGTGTATCTTTTCACGAATTCAGACATCCAATCTGATCTTCTCACATTCTGGACGACCTCCGCATATCATTTATAATCCCTTCCATATCACAGTCCACATATTTTCTCCCATGTTTATCCACATCCATTCCGTCTTTCCCTTGGATCCAACTCATGATTGGCCAACGTTAACTATGAACATCTCGAAAAGTACCGCTCGTACAAAATTTTGCAAGAGAGGTTTCCGTAGCGATTTTCAACGACGCATACATTGGTAATAGAAAAATCCACGAGATTATGAATTTTATCGTTTTATTACGTACTTATTAAGGTTGCGATTAATATTTCTCGCTATTAAGGGCGCATTTCGAAGGCGACCCGGTGCTATCACAGGGGTCGCTAGTTCAAAGAGTGACCGGCATGGATCGATGGAATTTCATGGATATGGGTCGAGGCGACGAACTACTCGAGCCGACATTCAAGACCCATTTACAAAAGTGGATTATAATCGACCGCCCATCGATCCCGCTTATGGAGAACCCTTAATTATTCACCGCCTCGTGTCCGATGGCTTTGCATGCCATCGCCCGTTCCCCACGTAAACACGAGACAAGTACAAATATTAAATAAACCGACAAAAATTAAGGGAACGTGCTCGGGGTATAATTTCTGCGGTCCATCGGATGTGCTTTTCCCAATTAAGATTTGAGAAATATTTATCCGGCCAGTCAGATCGTAGAGGCATGGAATTTCCTATTTCATACTCCATACCGTATTAAGACGATTAAAGTAAAATGATAGGAGATAGATAATCAGAAAAAGAAAACAAATGCTCTCGCCATCTGATTGGCCGTCCGTTTAAAAAGTAAGATACCACAAGTGGAACAATCCAAGTCGTGAAAAATCCACTAGTTTTATCAGTCGGCACCCACCTCACAGTTCCCACCATGTTCGCGAGTCCGGGGTCGCGATAAAACTGAGGGCTGACGGCCGCGGGCGTCTTTATTAGTGTTAAACAATCTAGCCCGTCGCGCATGCGCGCCGGCGCGGCCGTGATTGGTGCGCGACGGACACTGACGGCCGCGTGTTTCCGTTGTAACCGACGTGACCCGCGCTCCCATTGGCGGAAATTACGCACGAGTCACGTAACTGCCGCATAATCCTATGACCAGAGCCTAGGGAATCAGGGGAAACCTGTAGAACCCTAGGTCAACGACCAAACCATTCCACAGAATGACCTCCAGTTCTCTGGGGATTTTAAGAGAACATTCGGTTGCCTAGAAAGTTATTGCGGTTCTCTTTTTCATATTTTTCTTTATCATTTAACGCCTCGATGTTAAATAAAGGTGTTTTTCCTTCATATCCACGTTATACATTTCAAGTAAAACACATTGTTACCAAAACGTAGAGCGAAGTCTGTTTTTCGAAAAAAAAAAAAAATAGGGCAACAAGGCGGAACAATGGCGCGGGGTCAAGTGAGCCTTTATACGACAATGCTTCAGTGGAGGGCAAACAGGGAATGCAGTATCAGGTGGGCATTTTACAATTTTCACGAGAAAGCCAAATACTTACATGACCATCGCTGAATTTTTCATGATACGTCCGCATGGCCCGAATTGCTGGATGGGACTGGGAGCGTTCAGACTTCTGGTCCTCCTGAAAAGACAAAAGCGAATCCCATTAGCGTTGATAAAATAAATTCACCAAAGCCAAGCAATTTTATCTAGAAGAAAAAAAGAAAAATCCTGATCGAGGGAATAAATTAGGGAGAGCTTTTGTGAAACAATAAGCTGATAAATTAGGGTCGAGAATCCGAAACGATATTATTAGGAGCGTCTACGCTCTTGGAATGACGCGTTCCAAAATGCGCAAGAGTTGCGTGTCTTGACGCACTCGAGCTTTAATTAATGCTTTAATTCACGGAAGGAACATGACTGGATAAAAGCTCGGGCACTGCAAAATGCGATTCTCGAAAGTCGAACACGTGCGCCTCTGTCGGAGCGGCATGAATTATCGATGAATTGACCCACCGAACGAGCATAATGTTTTGTTCATTGACTTCAAGAAGTGACTCAATCGGATCGCTTCCTCGATATGCCGGAACCGAGAAGGAAAATCGCCTTGAAAACAGCATTTCATGCCAGAAACTTATTTCCGTAGGATGAGTCAAAATCTTGTACGTTGATTTATACACGAAGAAGCAACGAAGGCTTCATGAGATCAGTTATTATCGCTACAAGATATGGAACCGTCGTAAAACGATTTCAGTAATGGCGTCCCCAGGATGGTCGTCACTTCCTCGGGAAATGGGTCGCCTTTCCCCGGTTTCCATGGGGTATCGCAAGTTGTAAACTACCCTGAAAGATGATCAGATTATTTCGCAAAAGCAGATGACCGTAGCTACCTGAGGACGCGGTTCTTAGGACCGTTTTCCAGGGGGATTTTGGCGACGCCATTATCCAGGACGTCCAAGTCATAATCAAGATGGCCGTTGATCGGGCTCTCCCGTAACGGCGACACTTGATCGGTCATGGCAAGATTTATAGTTCCCAATGGTAACGAATTTAGCAACTCTCCTCTCTTTTCCGTAGAACTCGGCAACGTGAACGTTTTTGACACCGGAGCCGATATCTCTTTCGAGATAACAGCGGCGTCGTTGACCGTTGCACTTCGTTTTCGCCGCTACTACGTCTTCGGCCCTGGCGGGAAAATTAAAATATTCAAAATCAAAATTCAAATCTTCCCCCCAAGTCCGAGGAAAATCTCTCGAAAATGGCAGGCTGGAAATCTCGAGAACTGTGAGTACTCCCGCAGGCGGGAAAATTCGAAATTCAAATAGACCCGAGGCGGAAGCGCACCGTCCATGGCAGGTCCACGGGGTCAGATTCAAAATGGCGGCGACCGGCACATTACAATATCCCGAAGAAAGTGCGCGAATAGAAGGGGGGAGAAACCAATGTCGACGCCGGAAGCGAACCTCGTTAAGTCATTTCATTCGCCGATTACGGCTCGTGGCGATTATACAGGGAAAATGCCGACGAAATCGGAGCACTCGAACTGATCGCCTCAGGGACGCCTCCGAGTCTGCAGCTGCACCTCTTCCGGCGGTCTCTTTCATTTTTTCTCCCTCACATTTGCGAAAAACAAGGATACCTTTGCACTTGATTTACTCTTCGATAACTATCTACGCTACTATGTAGGAATTTGAACGTTTTGGCATTCTCAATTGCCCCGTATATATTGAAGATTTCTAGAAATTTGCCACGCTCAAATTTGGCATATATACAGCGTCACGCATACATATATACGCAAGTGTGCATGTATTTGGCGCGAAACTCTACCAAGTTTCCTGATAAAAAGTGTCTTTTTTTATAACGACATCGGAGGGTACTCGTGATGTGCTTCGGCCCCTCGTACGCAAGAATGCGAGGAAGGGGTGCGAATGTGAGGTTAGGTCGCCGACTGACCACGCCGGGAGCGAGAGGGGAAGAAAAAGAGGGAGAACGAAAGTGAGAGCGACCTGAAAAGCGAGAGAAGTCGAGGAAGTTGGCCGAGTGGAAACGTCGACGTGGCAAAACTCTGGAATTTCATGGCGAGCGATCGCGAAAAAGACCACAAGAATCGCTCGCCAAACGGAAAACGCCATTCCGGTGTCATCGTCAACAAAACTCGGTATAATTTCACGCCAAATGACTAATACACACGTAAGTATATACAGCACTTATCGCCGTTAAAAGAACTCGGAATCTGGACTCGACCGTTGCAAAGCGCGGCGGGAAATTTGAATTCAAAAGTAGCTTCTGCTTCTAGATACTTGTTGGAATACCACGAGAGATCGATTTAAATGCCTCGCGCGTGAAATCAATAGAGATGAGGTTCTCGCTTCAAGAATTGTCTATGCACTCGGCCCAAGTGTTCATGTAATGACGCATTGAAGGTTTTATGCAGCGGCGCAGATAAAATGGCGTTCCCAACGCAGCATAAAAATCAAAGTTTCGATCAAGATTGAACGGATCTACACGTGATGTTATCCAAAATGCTGTACGAGGACATTTCCAACTATCAGGAGGAATTCCAATTTTCTACAAGGGAATCCCAGAACAGTACAGTCGTCCCAATAGTTTCCGCGGAGCAAAACAAAAAGCTGTGCATCAAAGACGCTGACTCGGCATTAATAAGGTATTACGAGAAGCAAAAAAGCAGCCCTGGGAATGGAGGATTGCGTAAATCCATCTAACCAGTCTGGAACAATAGACCTCCGATAAGAACGCGAGTATCTAATTATAAAATATACGCAAGTACACGCCCTTCCGCGAGATTAAACCAAAATATTATTCGAAGAATAACTGCAGTGATAAGAATTTCTCAGGGGGAATGGATGATTGCGCAAATCCATCTAACGAGTCTGGAACAATAAAGCACCGATAAGAACGCGAGAATCTAATTATAAAATATACGCAAATACACATCCTTTCGCGGGGTTAAACCAAAATATTATTCAAGGAATAACTGCAGTGATAAGAATTTCTCCGCGGAGTCAGTTGGATATTTCCGGTGTAACCTAAGCGATCGATACATCGCTCGATATGGAAAGCGATCTTCGCTAGTTCTAACGTTTCCAAGATGGCGGCCTGCCCAGGCGATTCCGGGTCAACAAAAGGGCCCGTAAGGGTGTCTCAGCGAATTCCTCGCGGAAAGTCGTGAATAGCGTGAATAATAAAGTGAGTTGTCCGTCCCAGCGGAGGTGACTCGACGTTTCCGATGTATCCGTAGGGATTGAGATATCGATCGAGATCGAAAGTCTCGACTTTCGATCCTCAGGCGGGCAGAGTCCAAGGTCGCTCGAGGCGCCGAAGGATCGGTGGATCCGCTGCGGCGAGGAGACAGAGCGAGATTCCAGCCTGCCGTGGCGAGAGAAAAATCACCAAAAAATCACCAGGGGTTCGACCAATGCGCGCGCTGGCTCGCCCGCCGGCGGGAGGCGCCGACTCGCGGAAACGCCGCAGGAAAGCGGAACCAACGAATCGGGAGCGCGATTCACTCGCGGCGGGCCGCGGACTACGCGCGGACGAGCGTGCGGCCCAACGGAAACGACCGGATCGGCGCGGAGTCCGGCGAGGAATGAGGAACGATTCGGGCTCGAGCCAGCTAAGACCAATTAAGAAATTCCTTTGGAGCGGAGCCTCGCGGCAGGAGAGGCAGGAGGCTCGCCAGGCAACTCGGTCGGTAAGCCCGGGAAAGTGAGGTTAACTCGCGGCTAAAGGGCGCTGCACGATCTGCACGCAGTGCAGTCGATGGCTCCATCTAACCTCGTTCTAACCTGTCTTATAAATGGACCTTGGCGAGCTCGGCTCAGCTTGACCGAATTAACAAAAAAAAGAAAAAAGAAAAAAAGGGTATAAATTTCTGATGAAAAACGTATTTCTTTATACGTTTACGACGGGACGAATCAAGATGGCTCAATTTCGGATTCAGGCTAATTCAGGCATATGTACGTATCATTGATGAAATGATACGTACTGATATGGAAGTGATAAATGTTCGAGTACTCGGATATAGATCTAAGATATTATTTTTGACAGGGTGGGGATATGTCAACCTCTTACAGGCGGATGTCTTAATGCGGCGTTACGGTAGTAAGACGGAGACGTATTCTGAGTCAAAGGGTACGACGTGAAGAGTGGTTGATTAATGCTTGAAATCAGAGGGAATTTAAGGTGTATTCTTATTATGGAGAATTGTCCATACTTAAAATAATTTCCCTTTAGGCGTGGACAGAGAAGGGATGCGAACAGCTGTCTGGCCGAAGAAAAACAACGGAATTGTGGCCACTGAACCAGATAAGCACATCATTCGTCCATGACAGATGAGACGCATGTCTCGTGCACAATCCTTCCCGTTTATTTCCGTCACTAGAGGGAAGAACATCAACAAACCATCGAATGACAACAGGACTGTTCTGGAAAACACATTTCTGATTTATCACTTTGCGCAAAGCAGCCGTTAAAAGGCTGCCGAACGATATTTAACGAGAAGATAGTTCTTATCGCGTCCCCTAGTCCCGTTTCCGTAATTGCAACTCCGTCGTCCTACTTGCTGCGATATCTTGAAGACGAATACAGTATAAGGGAAATGGGAAGTGTATTGGACGTCGTAAATGTAAAGTCAAAGTTCCAACGATATTCCTTAGAGTTACCACGAAACCTGGAGAGGCAGGGAAAACAATTTCCCAACCCGTCGGCACGTTAAAGTTACTTCTGGAGGAGGGAAACAAAACATATTGTTGGTTTCGACTCTACGTGGGAAGTTTCAAGAAGAACGGCGATATCGACCTTCTCGAGAATCAGGGGCTGACTGCAACCAGCCGAGCACTATCTCCTGGGAGGTCATGGTCACGGCTCTGTCCTCATTCGAATGGAAGAGCTGGAGTTTATTTTCTCAAGAAAGAAGACGTACCAGGCGTGTTTCCCTAGTCGATCCATGAATACCTAAGCGATACGTCTATGAATATGACAATGAGCCGTACCCATTAAAATATTTATGAAAACTGAATAAAGATAGACCTCGAAGCGTCCTAACCAATGGGCGTCCATTTCCCCGTTCCTGAAGCAGGTTTATTTCTTTCACCTTCGGAGCAGAACTTTTAAAGCTGTTAA